TTGTAAATTTTGGTGCGGAAGTTTAGTTTTGAGAGGGTTAATTTGGTGTATTGTATTGCGATGTTTATAATTGTCAAACAATAACAAAAGTTATGACCATTCAAAATTTGGCGGTTGAGAAAAGGAAAACACATGGTCATCTATAATGTAGAGTAAAAATCTGTAACTATTCGACATTATTTTCCAAATCTAAATCCTTGGTGTCTTAAAACCCCAAAAATCTGAGAAATAATTGACCCCAACAGAAACACAAATCTATTGTGATATTTGTGTATATTGTTAGAAGTTAATTGTATAATCACAAGCGGAGAAATTTTCATTCCTAGAGAACCAATGAAGAGTATTGTCCATACACATTCTTGGCCAGAAACTCACCATCTCTTACCGTATCACCATACCATCGCTATTTTTCTTTACTTGCAGATTTAATACTTCACAATACTCTAGGTCATCTACACTCAACAAGTGGGTACACTCGTAGGTCTAAAGAAATTGGCTGCCGCTCACTCCAATAAACTTGAAATGTGTTTTTTTTTTTCCCTAAGAATCGACCTGACAAAATTTAAACAAGTTTTAAAAAATTATTCTCTCTGTGCGAAGGATATAACTTTCACGATTTAACTAATCCAAGCTATTGTAGGATAACATGTATTTGAGATTCTACCAATTCCATACCTTAAAGGAAAAATCCTTCTTAACCCTATTAGAGCAGAGAATAATGAATATTACCATTTGGCCTTCAAGAAATTACTTTACAAGGTCGAATATGAAAATATTTTCTAGTTGTAGCGATGAAATGCTGGATTCAAGAATCAGCTATCTGTATATCAACTAGATAGTAAGCTTTCTGCTTGTAAATACCTTAGCTGATAAGATAAGTTGAGCATTTTGGGAGAAAGAGAGCTTTGCTCTATGACTGATCTGGTTTGGTGCCCGAGTCATAAATAATGTTTACTAGTTATTTTGAAAGTAGTTTATTCTTACCATCTGATCATATGTTGTATGGACATTTCCTTTCAGATTATTGCATAAGAGTTAGGGTGGCACCTTGGCATGTCTAGTTTTTCTTACTGTTAAAAGTTCTTGGATGGGCAGTTTGGCACTGTTGCTATGTGTACTGTGTTATGCTTGGTTAGTTTATTTAATATGATATGATTATGCATTCCGTGTAATGCTTAATTGATCTTGCAGGCTAAACCATGCAAAAGTTTGTGGGTGTCTGGAATAAGTCAATCCATTTCAAGGGAGGAATTGGAGAAAGAGTTTCTCAGATATGGTAAAATCCAGGAATTTAAATTCCTTAGAGAGAGAAACAGTGCATGTGTTGATTATAGTGGGTTGGAAGATGCTATTCAGGCATTAAAAAATATGAACGGGAAAAGAATTGGTGGTTCTCAGTTACGTGTGGACTTCCTTAGGTCTCAACCTCCTAGAAGAGTAAGTTAATTTACCTAAAAGCTTCTGTCTCGCAAACGTACTATATTTAGTTCATGTAAAAGGGCTAATAATTCCAGTGGGGCCTGACGTTGCATAAATCTTGGTTGACTTGAAAAAATTTGGGTGATGAATTGGAGTGGTAAAGCTAGCTAGTGACCAATGGCTTGGGATGAAATTTGCACATGTTTTTGCACTATAAATTTATTTCTGCAGTGCATGATTTTCTTTACTTGCTGGCTGTGATGGAAAGTGAAGACCCATCCATTCTTTGCCTATCTATTTCGTCAGTCTATACGATACCTTTTCTGTTTATGACTTGGATTGTATTCCATAGGAGATGGATCCAGATGCAAAGGAAGGCCATTTTCCCAGTAGGAACATGGTACCATTTGACTTCCGCAGGATGGGACAAGATCCTGTGAACAGTTATGTCGATCCAAGTTTTTCGGGGTCCAAAAGGACAAATGTAAGTTCAAACTTTGATAGTATATCTTCACTCTTGGAGTTCCATGAAATTGGGAACATGGCCCAGATGATGGAGTCGAGTGATATGAATATGTTGTCTCTTTAAGAGCTTCCTGGCAGCTATATTGTATATGAGAATTGCACCAGTCCTTTAATTTGCTTTGTATAATTTAATAAAAGCAGCGTGTTTTTGGTGAATTTATCGACTACGTTAATAGTCTTAAATATCATTGCATTTCATCATTCCTTATCTTCAGTTTCTCTTTAACATCAGTTTTGTTGTTTGCGGCAGCCCTTTCTCCCAATGGGATCACAATATGGTGATGCAATAGCAAGCAAAGTCCTGTGGATCAGATATCCTCCTTCCGTTATCCTCGAAGATGACATGCTGCATAATGCCATGATTTTGTTTGGCGAGATCGAGAGGATAAAGACGTATAGTGACAGAAATTATGCCTTTGTAGAATTCAGAAGTGTTGATGAAGCCAGGCGGGCCAAAGAGGGACTACAGGGCAAGCTATTTAATGATCCTAGGATTTTAATCGACTATTTCAGTGATGAATTTCCTGGCGTTAGTCCATTTCAACCAGTTCGGATGGATCTGCTTGGTCATAACCACCCTGTTTTACTGGGAAATAATCCAGGCCGTCCATCACCTCGTGGAATTCATGCACCTGATCTTTATACGAGGCCACCTGTTGGTTCTCATGCTGCCTTTGAACCTGGGCATCATGGCCCGGAACATGTTGACTTGTCTTCTGTTCCTAAGTTGCAGAACCATAGTTCCCAAACTCTAATGGGAGGGCCTGCTTGGAGAAGATTTTCTCCCACTCGTGGCTTACTATCTTCTCCTTCAGCAAGTTTTATATCAGACAGGTCGGCACCATGGGATGTTTCTGATGCTACCCAACTTCAAAGAGAATCTAAAAGATCAAGGCTTGATGCTCCTCTGCCTCCTGAAAGAACCAAGCATCACAGTCCGCATTCACTACGAAGTGGTGGAGCTTCTGGTGCTTTGACCAGAAGCGCAATTGGTGGGCATGGTCCGCGCCTTACCGAAAGTGATTACATCTGGCGGGGTCTTATTGCAAAAGGTGGAACACCTGTTTGTCGTGCCCGGTGTGTCCCTGTTGGAGATGGGCTTGGAGCTGATATGTAAGTATGGCATCTGGCATTTTAGGGCATTTGTGTTGATGCAGAAATAACTGTTGGTTTAAGAGGCTTGTTTCTACTAGCATAAATCTCTCAATGGGTGATATGTTTTGTAGTTAACAGTAGTCTCTAGCTATTTTGTTTCATACAAGTTACTGGTTATTGAGCTCTAGTGAATGCAAATGTCACGTTTTATCACTTTTTGTGAAAATTTTAAGACTTGATTTGAACCATCACTTTCCCAATGTTTCTGTTATGTTTTCTTTTCTTAATGGACCAACATTCAAGTTTTAATTTATTTTGGGTGTTCTTTTTCATTCTGCAGTCCCGACATAGTTGATTGCTCAGCAAGAACTGGATTGGACTTGCTAACCAAACATTATCATCAGGATGCTATTGGGTTTGGTGTAGTATTATTCCTGCCTGACAGTGAGGACGACTTTGCTTCTTATACAGACTTCTTGCAATATCTGGGTTCCAAAGACAGAGCAGGAGTTGCAAAGTTCGAGGATGGTACCACCTTATTTTTGGTACCTCCATCTGATTTTCTGTTTAAGGTTCTTGAAGTTGATGGACCCGAGAGGCTGTATGGAGTAGTTCTGAAGTTTCCCCAGATAGCGCCTGGTAGTCCATCTTTAAATCCTCACACTATGTCTGCTCCTTACACTGATCCACCCAGAAGGCCCACTCCGCAAAGGGGATATGATGCTCTTGCCCCAGAGGAAAGGGGTTCACATTTGGATACCTCTATGGTTTTGCCTGAGGATTTCAAATTGCCTCCTCAAGCTCCTATTCCTGTGACCAGCCATGTTGTTCCACCAACCACAGTGGCACCCCCAGCTAGTTTAAGCTTAACTCCTGAGCTTATTGCTACTCTAACTTCGTTGCTACCTGCGAATAATACTCCACAAGCCTCCTCATTTTTACCTCAGGCACCCTCTGTGCTAGGTGTGACATCCAATGTTGTTTCTAGTGTTGACACAAACACAGCCCATTGGAAGCATGAAAACCAGGCTCAAGTCCATAATGGCCAGTTTGTGCAACCACAGGGTTGGCCAATGCAACATCCCCAGGCAAGTCAAGCTCAAGTTCCTCCTCCAATGGATTCGGGCATGGCTGGCCAATTTCATCAAGCATTGAATCCCTATAGACAACACCACACTGGCGACTTCACATCTCAAGGTGGCTCTTCATCGAGATCGATGCCACCCGTAATTTCAATGCAAAGAGGACCAGCCCCAGTGGCACCGGAGATCAACCAGCAATATCAACATGGGAATCCTCAGGATGTTTTTAGGGGTCAAGGGATAGAAACTGGAGCAGACACTCTGAAACCGTCCTATAATTCGCCTATTCTCCCGCAGCCGATGTATCCAGTGGCATTATCCAATCAGATGCATGGTAATGCATCTTCCCAGCCCTATGTTCCGCAGCCTTCTGAAGTGGAGCTTGTGCATCAAAGCCAGCCGCTTCAGACTGCTCCATTTGGGACCACGCAGGAAAATGCTGAAACCGAGGCTGATAAGAATGAGCGGTACAAGACAACACTGTTGTTTGCAGCCAATCTCCTGTCTAGAATACACCAGCCATCAGGTAATCAAGCCGGGCAGGGTGCAGGAAGTAATTGAGTCAGGTAACTATTCACAAGCCTTTTTGTTTGGGGTCTCTATATTTCTGCCATATTTTGTCATGCATTTATTATGTGAACCTTTTTCATGCTGAATTTGTATTATTTCCTTTTTATTTGAATGCCTCTCACTGATGCTATTAAGTTTATTTGGAGGTAAACGCTCGAGCTGGTAATCGCGGGTGATAGTATATATAGTTCAAGCTAGGTGTTTAGAAATACTTCTGTCAAGGTTTGTAGTTAATAGTTAGTACTCGATTTATTGGCAGTAGGCCCAGGTGTAGTAAGATACTTCAGGAATGGAGTTTTGTTTCATGTGATACATTCTGATGTATATAGGAGTTTGTTAAGAGGGAAGTTAATGGCTGCCTGATGCAGGAATACGGCCTTTTTTAAGAACAATTTGTTGTTGATTGTGCCAATTCTTAGTTGGTGAATGCCCTTCTGAATTGGTGCCTATCTTAGAATCTTTACCGTCATAATAAGCTGAACAACTTTGACTGGACCATTGAATTGCATTATTTCTCGGTCCTAAGTATTTCAGAGCCATCTTTCGCTCCTGGAACACTACCAAAGTGTTTCGAGCGTGGGGTTATCTTGAGTAGGCCAGGATTGCTATTGGTTATCCTTAGTAGGTCTATGTGTTCATGTGTCGACTCTGTGTCGCAAGCCCATATCAATAATCTTAAGGTTGTGCCTCTCCCATTAAACTGTATTAGAAGCACCGACACTTGAGACTGACCAGTTATACATCTGTAATTGGTTTCTTTTTTTATAGCTGTACTTTGACATCATAATAAGCGCATGTGAAACAATGGTGTAATATCGTTTTTCTTGCATTTCAAGCTGGTATTGGATGAGAGGCTGATTTTGGTCATGTAGATCCATTTTATATTGTGTACAGAAGGATATTCTTCATGTAACTTCTAGAGTGAGAAAAGAAAAGGAATAGGAAATGCAGAATAGCATCTCATAATTATATAATATTCACCCTTTAGGAGAGAGACTGAGTTACGAATATATGAGTCTGTGATCTAAAATTGTAATGGGTTTTGAAATGTTTTAATTAGCAGGGAAGATAAATCCAAGATTAAGATGTAACAGCAAAGTAGATTGTAGAACTTTGAGAAAAAAAAAAAAAAAATTCATGTCACTTGATTATGATTATAAGGGAGGCAAATTTTCTGTTTTGTGTTTTGCTGAACTTTTTATGCTCTTTTTTCGCATTCCTTATGTGGCCCCACGCGCATTCTCTATATTATACGGTGGTAGTCTCAAGTGTAGGGCTTATATTGCTGGGAAGAACTTTAATCTTATTTCAGTAATAACACGTGTGACTTAATACCAGTTTATCTTATTACTCGAGTTAATCTTTAGTGATTTAAGTGGCCGTCTCGGTAGCATGACAAGATAGGAACATATGCTATGCACGGGATATGCCTACTTAGTATGTTAAGTTAGTCTAAAGTGTTTTATTAGTTAAAACACTCGGAGGGATATAGGTTTACGTGGGTAGCTGATCTCTTTGATATTGATCTTCTGTGTTTCTTCCTTTCAGTTTTGCATCACTTTCATACTCATTACATGTTGTGTTACACATGATATTACATGTTTTCTCTTATCCCATTTGTTGTTGCATCATTGCTGTAGTTCAATAGTTATACTAGTTCAGTTTTTACTATAATTTTATAGTTATACTTTTATTACTGTGTTGGAACTTGTAATTGATATTTTGTAAATTATAAGAGTAAACTGAGAGTTTATCTTCTGTTGTCTCCTAGATCATATTCCCAAGGAAAAAAAAAAAGCATTCCTTTAGGGATCAAACCACAAATATAATAACCACAGTATAATATTGATACAGATATAATATAAGGTAATATAGTTATGCATATAAATTATTTATTAATATCAACAAGACGTGAATTTTGTTTGTTCAATACAAAATATGGTTAGTTTGAAGTCAATTTCTCTCGGTGGAGAATTTGAGTAATGCTATAAGTACATAATATTGTACATAGAGGTGTACATAACACTCGCATTGAGTGGGACGATAACAAAATCCTTGCAAATTATATTTTTTACAATCACTACTTATATAAACTATTTTCTTTGTACTATTCCAATCTTGCCAGGTACTCTTTTCAATCAATAGTTATAACCTATTATTTTTGATAATACTCGAATCTTATTGTAATCGAATCTATGGTGTTCAATCGGGCTGACAATCGAATGAGCCACTTACAATATCAATTATCGGTCAATCCGCGTCATATCCGGGTAGAGCCAAACAAGGCTATGAGTGTAATGAATCGAGGCTACGAATATATTACTATGAGCTAATTCGAGTTTTTATTTTGTTGAAAATATTTGAGTTCAATTTAGAATAAAATGAACTGGAAATTGGATGCGGGTTGAAGTGTGCGAAACTGCGTCCAATGTATATAGTGTTAGTTTTAAGATTTTAAAACCATTTAAATTGAATATAGTATGAATTTTAAAAATTGAAATATATATATCATATCATATTACGTGGTCCAATAAATAGGAAATGTTGAAACAACCAACATATCGATTAATAAGCTAAACAATTCATCTTTATATAATAATGTATAGTTCATTGCCCGGAGAGTTACATTACATAATATTATAATGTAATTAATATAAATTGGTACGGAAGAGATTTTATTAGAAGAACGCACGGTAGTTTAGAATCAAAATTAATTTGTGTGAGAGGGGTTTTACCGTTCAGAATCAAAATTAAGTCGTATGAGAGGGATTTTGTTTGGAACTTAACGACTAGGGTTGTAAAAGAATCGAATCAAAACGAATATTGACATATTCGATTCGAATTTGTTAAATATTCGAAGATTTGAACTCGTATTCGATTAGTAAACGAACTCAATTTTTGATTTGTATTTGATTCGTTTAGAGTATTCGAACATATTCGATTCGACTTGAAATTCGTTTTCAAAAAAATATTTAATAAAAAAATTATAATTACATAAGTATTGTTTATGTATTTCCTAGTTTATGTTTTTAGGGCAAATTGTTAATTTGGAATTTTTTTTATATCATAAAAGTATTAGGAATATACATATATATAATTTACATAATTATCGTTAACGAATCGAATATCTACAAATTCGAATTTGGATTCGTTTAATACTTTCGAATATAAAACTTCATTTGTATTCGAATTTGAATTTGAATATTTTGAATTCGAACCACGAATATCAAACCCGAATCAATTTACACGCCTACTTGCGACTATTTAGAATTCAAGTGAAAATGCATAGAACGGATTTTGTATAAACTTGCGACAATTTATAATGCTATAAATTTGTATGAGAGGAATTTTGTTGAGAACTTACTAATGTTCAGAGTTCAAATGAAAGCGTATGAAGCGAATATTGTAAAAAAAAAACTGCGATAATCATGAATGGAAGCTAGGAAGGAGTGGGTTTTGTAAAAAAAAAATGAGATAATACTGAATGTAGGCTAAATAATTTTTTGACAGATTATATTTGGATTATATTTTAAATAATTTTAGAATAAATTACTTTTAAGAAGGATTATACTTTTACAAATATTCCAAATGGATTAATTGTATTGATATGTATATTACAAATTAACTTAAAATCACAGATAGATATAATTTTAAGACTGATAGTCATTGTGACATCTCAAACTTTTACGGATATTTTTGTGAAATATGTTACATCTCAACAAATTTGTATGAAGATTTTTTTTAAAATATATATATATATATATATATTTTAATTTATAAATAAACAATTCATTTTGTTTTACTTATTTTTAATGAAGAATATAAATAAATAATTCTCCTTTTCATTTACTTTGTTTAGCTCCTATATATAATTATTATAGAAAATTATGCAATAATTTTTGTTTATTAAATAAAGCTGGGATTCATACCGTATTAAATTTAGATATGGTTTCTACTTTGTGTAGGTTCAGAGCAGGAAATGCCTAAAAAGTCAAGTCTCTACAGATTGCAATAATGACAATCCCTTGAAGGCTTATGGAGTTTTTTCGGCGGTTCGACCAGTGAATGTTTTCGTGTTAAATAATTTGTTATTGCTTTGAACTTCATTTAGTGACTGTTTGTTGTAGGATATAACTTTATGTTTTGTTTGCAGCAGTGATTTATTATCTTCGATTTCATGTTTTACTAATACAGTACATGTGCGATGCACGAGAGCATTTATTATCTACTTACTTTTTGAAAGGTATTTTAGTATTTAAACTGTCTAATGGCATAAAAATATGATGAAAATGGAATTTATACATTATTGAACACTAGTTTATTTATAACATTCTTGGTTTGATTCTTTAGCACGTAAAATATTACGCGTGTGTTCGAGTTTTGTCTAGAATTGCGTATTATTAGTTATTAGTTAACAAATTATGTTTTTAAAAAAATTAAGGGATTTTATTTATTAAAGTTTGACGTTATTAACGAAAAATTAAATGCTAGTTCCATGAGTCTAAGAAAAAACGAAATAGATTTATTTAACAAAAGCTAGAACGATTTTTTTAGAAAATCTAAAAAACCTTATATATGGAATAATACTCGAGAAGAACTATCTACAAGGGACAATTACTATGGATATTGTTTTCCAAAACTAGAAAATCAAGTTAATTATCTAAAAAGTACAAAGAAAATTTTGAAAAAAATTAAAACTTAATATCTAGAAATTTTTGCAATTTCTCAGTCATTATGGTAATAAAGCTTGAAGTTGAAATTCAAAATTGGGACAAAAATGGTATCAGAACCTGGTAACAGACGAAAATATTAAAATTTTAAATTAAAAGCCTATGAATAAAGAAAATAACCTTTTAGATTACTGCACAAAACACAAAAAATCAGGCTACTTAATTGATGCATTGGTAGATGCAAATAAATTAGGAATAGCAGATCACGACTTAATCAAGAATCATAATTTCAGAAATGAAGGATTGATAGAGAAATTAAAT